CAAGGTTTTGTTTTCATCCTTTGTCAAAACCTTGTCGAAACGTTGTACATTTGCTGTCATGTTAAACTTATATTAAAGTTTTTCTTCATTACCCATTTAAGCCGTCTCCAGCCATTATTAGTCTCAAAGTGGGTTCCTCTTCATCGAATTTTAATATAAACATTGTGTTCTTTATGTTTTAAACCTACCTTATATAACTTTACTTCTGTAACGTTTAAAATTTAATTATATTTCTAGACTTACGTTGTTTGTAAAACTTCGCTTATGACTGCCAATAATCAGCATCTTAGGAATGTTACTGCTTGTTTGTCACTATTGTAAACAGTCTTTGTGTTATTTTTGGTGTTTTGGACTAATACAACAAGGGAATAGCAGGAGCTCAGCAATTTGTAACTGGTTCAGACCGATGAGCTAAATAGAGCGATTCATGTTTTTCTGTACTGTTTTATTAATGTACTAGTATAAAAGACTGACAAAAATGACGGGAAACCATTGCCTGCGAAATCTGAACCTTTCAATATGCATTTGCAACTTTACCGCGCGTAAACAGACATCAGAAAAATACAGGGATTTCTAGGATCGGGAAACCAAACTATTATGAGCAATGTCTTCTTTACCTAAAAAGTGTCTCTTCCCAGCATCGATCCTTGTCCCAGCATTCATTGATCAGTTATTTTCTTATCACTTCAAGTAGTTTGATGATACATTTTTCTATTCAACATCCTTTGTATTAACATATATCTAAGAAAGTAGGATTCTGTTAATTTTAGCCGGAAAAAATACGTCTGAAATATAATTTGTTGGCGTAGTTACTTTTGCTTTGACTTCAGCTGGAATGAAATCCCGAAGTAATCAGCCTGAAAATCAAGTGCGCTTTACACATGAGAAGTGAAAGTTGTATCGCAGTTGCCTTGAATAGCGGGTTCGTAAAGGAGAAATATAACTGTTTGACAATAAACTCATGGCAAACATAAGCGGTCATAAAGGTCACTCTGAATGACCAGTTTATTATTCCGTTCTTGGACTGTTTGTTTGGTTATTAATTTTTAATGCATCTTTACGTATTTATTTTCGCCATAAATATTTTAATCTTGAGTATGAAAATGTTCCACTGCTGACTTGAATTTTGTAGCCTAGTGCAAAGTTTCTTGTAGCATTTGATCAATCAGATCCAAGGATTTGTACCAGATACCAAGAAATATTCTATCATTTTTATCAAAGGAAGTGGCCTTGAATGTATCACCAGATGAAGTGAAATTCATATCTTGCATTATAGAACATCTATCCAAAACACAGTTAAGCCATATACATGAAAAGAATTATAAATAGTCCAAATTCACCTTATATAATCTCCAAGATGCTACATTATTGTATCTCATTATGATCGCATAAGTTTCTTGACCACTGACCCTTGTATTTTAAATCTTCCTCAACTTTTATTGCTTAGATATCTTGTTATATAATAAAATTATGTACGAAGATATTTATCTCTTTTAAAACTCGTTCGACCACAGTGGTTTTTGGTACTATGGTATATGATGAGAAATTTCAGAGATTTTGTTTTACTTTTTTTCTATAGCAGTAGGTTTCTTTTATGCAGAAAGAATAATATAAAAAAGTTCAAATATCAACATTAAATTATTTTATTTCTAGAGTGGTTTAAAATGTTAAAACGACATTTGTAATAATATTATTTGCATACGAAAACTCATTTTTGTACACAACAGCTACCTCACTGGGCAATATGTTTCTGTTAACTCCACTGACTTGAAATTGATCTAATTTTCTTATGTAATTCCGTGATATACTAACTCTGATATTAATTTTTATTCATTAATGTTGTAAATTCTAATTACGTTTTTTTTTTGCGTAAATAATTCACAAAGAAGGGAGTAATTACTCATCTTCTATTTAAATACTTAGACCCAGAATTAATTAGGAAAATTAAATGCAATGTTTATGCTATTCTTATTTAATTTTTTTATGTGACACATTTGTTACTATCACCGATCGACCAGAACTTGTATTCAGTTTTTCCTGTCTCTTTTGATTGTATGTACCTCCATGTTTTTCATACTATCCAAACCCAGTAGCTCAGCGGTAAGTCTGAAGGCTTATAACGTTAAAAACCGGGTTTCGATACCCGTGGATGATACAGTACAGATAGCCCATAGTGTGCAATCATACTTTCCTCATAATACTAATAGTATTTATTAGTTATGTCACTCACGCACGATTACTAAGATTAAACTTCAATAAAATTATATTTTCGATACAAATTCAAAAACCAATCATATTTTGTCATTGAAATTCCTTTTCTAGGAAGTTAATCGAACATTAAAGATGCAGTTTCTTTAATTTCCAGATGTCCAGCTTATTTTCACAATTCCAATAGGACTACTTTTACAATGCTAGTCTTGTTTTTGTAAAGATTACAGATTACATTAAAATAAGGTATTTTATTCATCCTTGTTGACCCATCCACATATGCTTGAATGAGATTTTTAAGTTTATGACATCAATTTGGAGTATGTTGTATTTTTCGTTTATTACTGCTCAAATAGATATGTTTTGCTGCTAGCGTTGAAGTGGATATCTTATCCAACTATCAAATATGTTAACGTTGAAGTGAAAATCTATATTTGATAACGCCCAAGTGGATATTTTATTCATCTATCAAATCTGCTAATGTTCAAATGAACGTTATCTGCTAAGCCTGAAGTAGATATCGCATTCAAAAATTACATCTGTTAACGTTCAAGTGGAAACATTTTTCTTTCTGTTTTTTTCTATTTTTCAAGTGGTGATTTTTTAGCGAACGGTAAAACGGGCCAAAATACAATTTTAATTCAAAATGATAACACTGCGGAATATCGTCTGCTATTAAAATTAAAATTTAGAATTCACAGTATTTTTGTTCAGTTTCGCCTGTATATATATAAAGCCAATACATGGTTTGGGAGGTGGCATTATCTCAAATTATTTCACAATGATTTCCAATATTCATATATATCTCAACTTTTATAATTAATATTTATACACCATTTAATGTACTTGTAAGCTAAAATAATTTTAGTTTTTAGAAGGTTTTATGGTAATGTTCTCATTATTTTTATCACTTAGCCAAGTTAGATTTTTGTCTAATTACATGAGGAGTTGTATGTGTCGCCCTCTAGTGTATTCTTAATTGGAAAAGCTTTAAAAAGTCTTGATGAGAAATAAAATGACCGTAAATTTATGTTTATACAAAATTTTAAACAAAAACGTTTCAACTAAATATCTATAAGGTAATTCCTGGTCATTTTTAGTAGCATTTGGGTCAAAATATCCAATAGAAAAAGAAACTGAATCTGTATGGGATAATGTATATTTGATAAGTTGGTTTGACTTGTATATTCTCCTCCGGTGGGTCAGCGGTACGTCTACGTACTTACAACGCTAAAAACAGGGGTTCGATTCCTCTTGGTTGACACAGCAGATAGCCCGATGTGGTTTTGCTTTAAAACACAGACAAGTGTATCGGTAAGCTAGTTTTAGATTATCATCGTCGTACTTGATGTTATATATGCTACTACTACTTCTATGATTACAGTGGCACATTCCGGAGATAAATACATTAGTGTTTGGTTGGTATTTCACTTTTCGAACATATCAAACAAATATTTTGTTTTTACATTATTCGTCTAAGTACAAGAAATATAAGAGTTAATCAAGGCAGAATTTCTAGCACGCTCCCCAGTGGCACAGCGGCATGTCTGCGGACTTTCAACGCTAGAATCCTGGTTTCGATACCCGTGGTGGGCAGAGCACAGATAGCCCATTGTGTAGCTTTGTGCTCAATTACAAACAAACAAACAATTTCTAGCTCCATTTTTTAAAAATAATAAGACAAATTTACAATGAATCCTGGTAAGAAGTTTTTTTAAAGTATAACTAGGGTAAACAATCTGAGTGAAAAGTACAACTAGGGTAAACCATAAACAATCTGAGCGAGTTACAACGTCCGTCATTCAGGATGCAGCGGTAGTTTTAAAATTACATCATACTAAGTTCGGTATTAAAAAGAAAACAGAACCAAACTAAGTAATAGTGTAAAGCTCTCTTGAGTTTCTATGAGACATTTGGACAAGTTCCATTGTATATAAGATAAAGGAAACAAGCAGAAGCAACTGTTTACGTTCATTAATCTTATTTTTTTTACCTAAAGGTTAGTTTTAAAGAGTTAACAAAGGCAAATGTCACTCTATGCTGTCTCCTGTTATGTGTAAAATTGGAAACGTAGATCAGTTGAGACTGTAACTTAAATTGTGGAGTTCATAAATCATAAAATATATTTCTTTATATAGAGGGGAAAACTCTAAATCAAAAGTTCGAACAAAAACGTCCACTATGTTTTATCGGTACAAAGTAATTATAATGCATTTTTGTGAAATAGTTTGACATTATCATAAGTACTGTTATTGTTATAATCTACACCTGAAGAGTGACAGTAACCTCACGGAGTGATGTAGAGAATAATAAACGTAATATTGGTTTTCAAGCAGCTTGGATAACACACTAAATAGTATATAGTAAAAATAATGAATATACACTCTATATCTTTGTTAAAAATAGAGGTGAATTGTTAAAAATAGAGGTGAAATATTACTAACTATTACAAATACCTTCGTTATCTTATTTTTAAATAGGTCAAACCAGGATTTTAATAACATTTTATGTATTAATACATTTTCTTATGTAACTATACATTTTGCGATTTCAATTCTATTATCAAATTTTAATATTTTAATTTATGCTTTCATTTTTTACGGTAGAAATAAAGTTTAATCAAAAATAAATCAACTTTCAAGCAAGTATGTTTTTGAAAATACGAAGCTTTGAAATCAAGAGCCATCTTAACGTCGCCAGACTCTGACGTCAGTAGTAAACTACAGGAGCAGCACGACACAAGTAACAGTTCCCTTAAATTAGCTATATCTGGTGGTCTGATACCAATGTAGACAGTCGCCGACAAGAGAAATAGTTTTGGCATCTTATCATTGGTGTAAAAGTAAAGTTAGGCTCTACAGAGTTACTTATATTAACCAGTTTCAGGCAAAATAATACAAACTGTACAACAACTTTCGTAAATATCAGTCTCGCTATGAACAGGATGATTTTTAAAATGAACTTTTTATTTTATTCAGTGATAATTGTTATTTTCATATCTGAGGGTGTTTTATCAACCTTCAGGTAAGTACCTAAAGTCTACAATAGGATGTTCTACGTTCCTGACCTGTAGCAAAACGTAATTAGTTTTACTATTTTGTTCCAGTATGAGATGTGTTAATTCCAAGAGATCATTAAACCAGCACCTTTGACCATTTCGTAGGCTAAGGCTATGTAAAAAAAGTGGAATAATTTTATTCATATATATATATATCTAACTCAGTTTCTTAGATAATGGACAATTTTTAATTTTAAACCTGGTTGTCTAACAAAAATGTTAAGATATTGATTTAACGCCTAGATTAATGATGGCATCGTGAGTGTAGACGATTAACATAACCATGTTTGTGATGCAGCAATCAGTGTTGTAACTGCATTTCTTCAATATTGTTTAAAAAGTACATAACCTATATTGTTGGAAGAAAGATAAAATAATTTGTTCTAATACTTTATTGTTTGTTCTCTTTTGTGAATGTATGATTACTTAGAGCATAGTAATATGATTAATTTAATGTAAATATAAACTCGTCCTTGAACCTGTTTATTTGATGTTTTTAGTTGCTAATTCAGAACGACCGGGAAAGAACATGATATTGACATTTGTTTATATGAATCGTATATATAAAACGTTAAAAATAACCTGGGCGACTTTTGCGCACAGAGAGCTTGATCATGTAAGTTCTTTAATATTTATTAGTTTCTTTGCCCTCCATAACAACGTTGACATTCTCAACTAAAATATTTTTACAAATAGCCATATTCTAAAATATTTTTTGTAAGAGCATGTTGACTCCGATTTCTATAATAATCTTACTAACAAAGAAAATCTGAAATTTTTTTCATTGAAAATAAAATTAAATATAAATGCACAAGTGCTTTAAATCAATCTTTAATAGTAACTTATGTAGTCACAATATAATTCTTAAGGTCGGTTTATTTTAGGGAGATTTAATGATTAATCTCAAGTACTTGCGAACGAAAAGGAAGCTAAAATTAAAACATGAAATCAATGTTTCAAACACTATTTAATCAATAAATATGAAATCCAAACGTTAAGTCCAGGGCGTAATTGTTGAAAACATTGATTCTTGTAGTTGAGATAAAATGTCTGAAGAAAAAGGTAATAATAGAAGGATTGATTGTTTGGAGGAGCAAATAGCAGTAAAAATAATTGTCCAGGGGAACCTAATAGCAGGAGGAATTATTGTTAGGAGAAAGCAAACAGTAGAAAGGAGGATAAAAACAATATAAATGATTGTCTGGAGGAAGAAGGATAATTAAACGAAACGAATGCGATAGAGATAGTGTCTCAGAAACCTCAGGCTGAAGAAGCTGGAGTGTTGGGTAAACCAGAGGATTCTTGAGGGAAGTTATCTTCGGTAAGAATGACTGATGGACAAAATCAACAGTAGATGATAAAGTGTACGAAGTGAATAAAATGTATATAGAAGTTAGTGCGTGAAAAGAAAGAAATAACAATAAAAGTATTACTGGATGAAATTGAGACGAGAAAAACGAAATATGCTAAAAATTAGGACGAAAAAAGTTAGACGTCAACAAAAAACAGGAAGAGAAGTTATCAGGAGGGAGAGGGAAAAAAAGTGAACGGATGAAGCTATCATGAACAAGACTGATAACTGGTCGAAGCAAACGTGAGAAGCACGAAGCGTTTGGGTAAGCTAACATTAAGAAGACAATGGTGTGGGTAACGTAACACTAAGAAGACAATGGTGTGGGTAACCTAACACTAAGAAGACAATGGTGTGGGTAACGTAACACTAAGAAGACAATGGTGTGGGTAACGTAACACTAAGAAGACAATGGTGTGGGTAACCTAACACTAAGAAGACAATGGTGTGGGTAACCTAACACTAAGAAGACAATGCACTGAGAGAAAGCTTGCACCAGTAAGAATTAATTGGCACAAAACTAATATTATGAATATGGATTCTTTTTTAAAGTAAGTTGAAAAAGTTGAAGAGTATGAGAAAGTTAAATTACAAATAATAAGTACCGGTAGACAATGAAAACTGAATACGTCTGCCAATTAAAACAAAAGCAATAAAAATCAATCGGCTAAAGTATTCTTTTACTGAGTTGTACGAACCTGAACAGGAGAGTTCATGTTTTCGAAAAGTTTATTGTCAAAAATGTAAAATATGCTTTAAAATTGCTTTCAAAATAACCTGTATTTCTCTGTTTCTCCATTATTCTCTACTGAGGGAACCATCTTTAAAACGTAAGCACACCAAGTGCAGTAGCGATCGCTGGACTGAGTGCTTACAACGTGAGCACTTAGCGACCATAGCCAGCGGGGCCTTACTTTATCACTTGCAAATTTTACTATCAATTATAATAAGCTATATGTATGAATCAATGAACTCAATCTGTATCTGTTTAGCTTAGGCTTTTACGTACATTTTTTTAGTCATACATAAGTATTTATTCTTGAAAGCGAATCACCTGAGGGATGATTGAGAAAGAATATCGATTGATAAAAATAAACTACCTTTTTCCATTTTATCTGGTCAATCTTGTTTCCACATTTTATTTCGCAAAGATCAACCTCAGAACAAAAATGTTATCCACTGTCACTGCTACTTCCAGTTCTTACTCACAGGGCCCGGTATGGCCAGGTGGTTAGGGCGCTCGATTCGCAATCTGAGGGTCGCAGGTTCGAATCTCCGTCCCAACAAACAAGCTCGCTCTTTCAGCCGTGGGAGCGTTATAATGTGACAGTCAATCCCACTATTCGTTAGTAAAAGAGTAGCCCAAGAATAGGCGGTGGGTGGTGATGACCAGCTATCTTCAATCTAGTTTTACACTGCTAAATTAGGGACGGATGGCGCGGATAGCTCTCGTGTAGCTTTGCGCGAAATTAAAAGAAAATAAACAAACAAATAAACAAACTTTTCACAGTCATTCATAAAGATGAGGCACATTTTCCCCATACTTAAACCTATGTAATATTGACAATATCAGTGTAAGTGTCTTAAGATGATGTAACCCAAAAATACGTTAAATCTAAGAACGTTGCATGAAAAAAGAACAATAAAATTCTCCTTTAGCTCAAACACAGCAAAATATAGCAACTTGATACTAATTATACTATGTCATTTTATTCATTTGATATAAAATTGAGTTTACATTCATCTTAGCTTCTAATTCATCACATAATATTGAGTTTAACTTAGATGAATTAGGAGTAAATTTTAATGTAAATTTAGTTGTACAGCATACGAATAAAATGTTCGAATGTTAGTAATGCCAAAATGATATATTTTGCTATGTTTATAAAATATCATCTACTGTTTGAGCTAAAGCAGAAACATGGCTTTTATTTGCTCAAGCAATTTTGGAAGAATTATTTTTGTAACTTATTTTCACATATAATGTCCTATAAAGACTAATGAAAAAATTTGTAATACAAAATAATAGATATAAACTGTAGTGAGGTACTACGAAGTACAAAATCTCCTATAAAGACTAGTGAGAAAACTTGTAATACAAAATAATAGAGATAAATTGTAGTGCATGATACCACAAAGTATAAAATGTTCTAAAAAGCCTCGTGAACTAAAGAATAATACAGATAAATTGTAGTACATGATACCACCAAGTATAAAATGTCTTATAAAGACTAGTGAGAAAACTTGTAATACAAAATAATAGATATAAACTGTAGTGAGGTACTGCCAAGTACAAAATCTCCTATAAAGACTAGTGAGAAAACTTGTAATACAAAATAATAGAGATAAATTGTAGTGCATGATACCACAAAGTATAAAATGTTCTAGAAAGCCTCGTGAACTAAAGAATAATAAAGATAAATTGTAGTACATGATACCACCAAGTATAAAATGTCTTATAAAGACTAGTGAGAAAAACTTGTAATACAAAATAATAGAGATAAATTGTAGTAAGATATTACCAAGTATACAATATCCTATAATGAATAGTGAGAAAAACCTGTAATACAAAAGAATATAGATCAATTGTAGTGCATGATACCACCAAGTATAAAATGTCCTAAAAAGACTAGCGAGGAAAACGTGTAATAAAGAATAATAGAGATAAATTTTAGCGCAAGATATTACTAAGTGATAAAATGTCTTATAAAGAGTAGTGAGAAAAGCTTGTAATTTAAAATAATAGAGATAAATTGTAGCGCATGATAATACCAAGTATACCCCCAGTGGCTCATGCGTTTTGTATATTGGAACATTGTTATGTTTTATTAATTAAAATCTTGGCGTTACAGCCTTTACGCTGATAAAATATGCAGATGCGCATATACTACATAAAAACTATATGTTGATAATTTGATAAAGAATGATTGAAATCAAATCAAATAATGTATGAAGATATTGCAAGTTAAACTCAGAATTTCTGATTATTTTGATCATAATTAATAGCATAAACCGATAGTTTGAGATAACTTTAAGCCTTCTTATCTTGTTGTTTTATTCCAGTGCACTTATTGATCGCATGAACAGTCGATATTGACGTAAATTAAATCACTATACAGATTGGAAGTCTAAAAAACTACAAGTGACTTCAGAAATATTAGGCTTTACTTATTAATATTGTATATAGGAGTATATGTTTATATATATATATATATATATATAAACACGTGCACACACTAACACGCACACAGTAAATTTTCACTTTTGCTTTACTCAGTGCTGACCTCGGTATGTTACAATTAACGTAAACAACTGAACTGGTAGTTGACAATATATCTGTTTGTTACCATTTCAAAGGTTGTTGCGTTGCTAAGCAACTGGTGGCTCAGTAGACTTGGCAATTCGCTGAAGGTCCGAATTCTCTGTAGAATAAAATGTTTTTCTTTTTAAAATTGTTAAGAATAAAAAAGTGTTTGTCATTCAGCGGATATAACACAGTATATACTTTCTTGATAATCATGTATTCACATATGACAGATTAGTTGCGATGACTTCAAGTAATCGGTTTAGAATTAATGGCTAAAGTAAATTCACGTTTCATACTCATAATAAATC